ACAAACGGTACAGGTCCAGTCCAATCTAATGAATATTTTAGACTATTTTAGACCGTTCAATCTGTTCAAATCTGTCTTAATTTAGATTGGTTTCAATCCAAACCTGGTCCATTAACACCTATATAAATTCATTACAAATGAACCAGGTTCAATCAAATCCAATAAATACTTTGAACCATTAAGTTTGGACTGATTTTGATTTGAACGGGGTCCAACCAAAAACCAGTCCATTTACACCCTACTCACAATCACAGCAATCATTATTTGAATGGCGCAATTAAATCATATACACACTGGAATTACTGTGTAATGCAGGGAGATCGATATGTGATATGTCATATTCACAAGCTAGACCCAACTTTCAAATTGAAGGCTGTGGCCCAAAGGAGATATAATTGCACCCCATGAGATGGGCCTATGTCATTCTCAGATAGGGACTCGGAAGGAATCTACATCCTAATGATACTATGTCCTTGTCCATCCTTGACCTTTTTTGTAGGCCATTCAAGAGATCCTTTCATTGACATTATAGTGCTACAGTTTAGCAAATATGACATGGCATTGATGTCCCGCCGGTGATCTGACCGGAAGTCGTTATCATCCTTACAAAGACTCAACAAATATGACGTGGTGTCCACGTCTGCAAGTGATTAAACCAGATGTTGCAATCATCTTTACAAACTCCAGGACCGTCCTGAATTGGAAAAGCACAGGAAAGGAAACTGGTCCTATGAATATAATCTAACAAAGCTGCTAACTGCATCATCTTTACAGAATTTTTACATAAAAGGGACAGAAAAGTCCACCTGGTAATTTGATCCAGCTACTCCAATAATGGAGGCTCCAAGGCACATTCTGGTATGCAAGAAGACATGATTTTATCATATTTCAATTTAATTTATACCTAATAATTTTTTTTGGAAGAAAGAAAAAATTTAGGTGGAAATAATAAAAAATGATTTAAGCACCCATAATTTAATAAAGGATAAGGCATTGATTTGAACAAAATGGCAAAGTAAGATTCATGTAGTTGACTCATATAGTTGGGATAAGGCTTTGATGATGGTGGTGGTAATAGTGATGATGATGAATTTCTTAGAGGAAAGCAAGTTAAAATTAAACTCGCAACCTCAATATTGTGCTGCAAAGTCACCATCCGGGAATGGGCACAGAATCGAAACATGTACATTTCCAACAATCAACATGTCCAGATGTGGTCTCATCTATATACACATCAGAATTGTTTGAGATCGGGAATCTGCTACCACAATATAGGAGACTATAGCCCTAACTGGAAACATTTCCCTCACTTGTATGTTGTCATTCATGAAGATATATTCTCAATGTGTGACCGTGGTGTCTTATTGGTAGGTGTGGATAGAGTTCTTGTAGATAGAGACTAATGTTGCAGCACTCCAGAACGCCTTGGGATCTCCCACTTTCTTTAATGCCTAAAATCATAGCCACCCAAATAGTCTATTTTCTTCTTTCTTCGATCTCTTCTAATTAATTAGCATCAACTTCACAGAGAAAATATTTTTACATCTTAAATTGTTCATTGTTATAATCTTGATGGGCTTAAAAAGAAAACACAAAGATTGCTAGATACTAATTCTAAACTACTACAGCTATCTCAAATTTCATTTTCTATCAAGTAACTAATTTAGTCAAACAATCAATCGCCGATTCCCAAAATAAGGAATAGTACTGCCATGGGCCAAGGCAATGCCGGGTCTGAAGAACACAAAACAACAATACATAATTAAGAAATCTAATCTAAGTATTCTTCTCCTAATAATATTGCTGTTATACTAATTAATAATATCTGATTTCAAGACTTTTGTTGGTCACAAAAATGACAAGCTCCAATATTATACGTTTTGACTTTTGACAATAATACTTGAAGCAAAAAGTTCATAAGGCTGTGCTGTGTTTGGTTGTAATATAGTTTTTCAAGTCTGGGGATGATGTCTGATTAAGATTTTTGTTTGTTCTGTGGATTGTGTCAAATGAGGGCTTTTTCGGGTTTGGAACGTATCAAGTTGATTTGGTTGTGTTTCAAGTTTTTTGAGTACAAAAGAGGAGTACAAAGAGGAATGGTGAAGGGACCGGGCAAAAATTGGGTGCTAACAGTTGCCCTTCTTTATTGGAAGTAGCAAGCTGCTGAACAACAAAGAAAAAAGAAGCACACAAAGATTTTTATGAGTGCCAAGAGTTTGAACGAGGAAGGTGTTGTACCGTTCCAAGCCTTGGAAGACAATTGCAACTATCAAACAAACACGAGAAAAATGTATTGATGTATAACAGTGCAAATGATTTGAGTGTAAACTCTGGCCTATTTTTGTTTCAAAATTTAGCTCATTTTATTTGATTGCTGTACAAATGAAGCAGATTAAGACATGTAGAATAAAATAAAACCTAAAACAAAATTGAACAAGAATTTGCAATTTTTTATTTTATTTTATTTGCGTTCCTATGCATCTGTACTATGCAAATAAAATTGCACTGCAACCTAATTTACATTAAGAATGCCGCCTGGGCAGTAATGCCCATTCATAGAGGGTCCAATTTAATGTTGTAGGGAAAATGTAGCCTAATAGTTCTAATTAGAAGATAACCCACCTATTTCTACCATGTCGAGAAATAGGGGGAATTTAGGGATGGGGATAGAAGAGGGTGCACGTGAGGTCCATTAATCTTAGGAGGAGAGCCTGTGGTGCTATGGGTTTGGCTCTGTACTTTTATATTTGGAGGGACGTCAAGTGACCATCTTAACTTAACCATTTGGATCATCACTAGTCCTCACTGCACAGACAGCCTGTAAGCTATGTTGGGTGAAAATTTCCGAGAATCAAATCCATTGTCAATCAGCCGATTGAAGGGCTGTCTACTTCAGTCTTTTTAAATAGCTTATCTGGACCGCGCTGCCAAGATTATGACTTCTTAGGCAAATTATGCCATTTATCAACAACAGTTTATATTATCTATATAGCTGAACTGAAAGTAGCAGATTTTTGGCCGCAACTCTATTATACCTTAAGATATCTCAATCTTTTAGGAAATCTCATTTATATTGAATATGTAATTAAGATGATGATGATGATGATGATGATATGATGTGAAGACAGACAAAAAATTGGTTTAAGTTAACACTATCCAATAACCTGCCCCAAAATTTGTCTTAGTTTTGTTTTGAGATTGGATTCAGTCTTCACAAGACCCTATTCACATCATCCTTACAGTCTTTTCTAGCCGTGCATTGGAAATATCTCCATATTTATATTAGTTTTTTTTTAATTCATGGGATATATTCTCAATACACAGCTGAGAAAAACTGTAAGAAACAGTGTGAGGACGGTTTTGTGAGTACTGAATCCGAATTCTACCCTTTCATTCATAGAGACACAACGATTAGTGTATGGCCCAATTTTGTTTACAAAATTATATCATACTTCAGTGTACTACTATTGATGGGCCAGGCTAAGTACACGGTATAAACCAATACTGGGCTTGAAGGACATGGCTCAGATGGGTTATCAAGGCCCCGACAAAAAAATTTGCCTGCAGACAGCTCAGATGGCTAGGTAATACCTCTATCTCTACAGAGTACAGACTGTTAGGGCCCATGGTGAGTTGTCATGTCAAGGGGCCCAGGCCCATCTGTCTGTAGCACTGTTGTCAGCCAGCCCTTCTTCTTCCTAGCATTCCCCTTATATCCTTATCATTAAGTATGCAATTTGTACCTTGTACATATATGAAACTGTAGGCCCAGCCTCTCCTTATCCAGCCCAGACCAGGCCCATTTTTAGTTGGGCCTGGAACTGGAAGCAAACCGGGCCGTTGACAATCAACCAGCCTCCCCATTTCTAGCCCAAACCATATATGTTCGTCAATCTTGTTACCCAGGGATTTCTCTACCCAATCCACATCCTCAGTTCTCCTTAATTCATATACAAGAACTTGGAACTCTGTTAGGTGGTTGAATTCAGAGTCAGGAAGCTTAGATGAAGCTACAGAACAGAGCAAGAGCAAATCATTTCATCAAAGACTCTGTGGCCTCAATTCCACAGTTAACATTTGAAGAGCTTTCCTATTAGACAGACGAAGCACATTGATTGAGTGTAAAAGAACTATATATATATGTATTTCTGACATCCAAAACCTGCATAGAATATTCCTGTAAGCTGTAACTGGCTAACTGCACGACGACTGTTGACCATCAGAATTCAGACATGCACAGGGAATGGGCCTGTCACTGGGTGCCCATACACCCAGTAAAGACCATTTAAACCATATGAGGCAACCGTACCGTACAGCTTCCCTTGGAGAGTTGGAGCCATTGCTCGGTATGTGAAGGAGAGGTCAAAGGCTCTCGAGCGTGGTTGCACCACATCTCTCACTTGCCACCACTCACCAGCCCTAGCTAGGCCTAGCTACTTTATTATTACTCACCAAACTCAAGGCTGCTTTTGGGAGTGCTTTTCTAATGGTCTTTTTGTTGCTTTTTTGCACTTAAGAACCCATAAACAAATGAAAGTACCGTTTGATGAAGCCACTCATAGAAGTGTTTTTCACTTTATAACTCCACTGGCTTCTGTTTTTACGAGAAGCCTTCTTTTTTCTTCCCAAGATGCCCATGTCAAAAAATGAAAATGGAAAGACTTTCCTTTAAAAAGCTGTTGCAAAAAAGCATCTATCCAAATGCTTAAAAAGCACTTTTTTAAAAAGGGTTATTTATACATCTCCAAGAATTTCACGTATTTACTAAAACCTACCATCTGGTTTGCATATTATTAAAACACCCTATAGTTTGTAACTATTTATTTAGTATGTATTTGATTTCGTTGGCGTTTATTGAGTAAATGCTGTCACATAGGCACCCTATCAGCAAAGGCCTCTTATACTTATCCGTATGTATTTATGTTTGCACCTCTCTTCAATTAACAACCATTTATATTTTTGTCTCTTTTTGCTGTATGGGGTACCCGAACATGAGGGGGTTCCTTAGAAAATTGCTTTGCCAAAAATCCGTTTAGTGGAAAAAAATCCAAACACAGCCTAAATAGTGTTGTTAGAAAGTGAGTACTATTTACTCTGGCAGAGGATTAAGAAACAAATACCTACTCATCTACTACGTACATTGAACAAGGTTTAAAAAGAACAAGTAACAATATGATAATTAGTTGGGTTTGAACTTTGAAACAAAGACAAAGAGAGAGAGAATATCAGCTCCAATCCCACACACACATTCATTTATATTTGGCTGCTCTTCCACCTTCACACCTTCAGGAACAGAAAGCAGGCAAAAGCTGAAACCTCTGCTCACACCATTGGCCATTAATAGACAAACAGGTGAGGGTCCGCTGCTTTCCATCTTTCTTAGCTTGTCCATTAAGGAATTGAAACCATATAACATCGATTTAACTTTCATGAATGACGCTCTCTTTCCTCACCTGCTTTTATTAATTAAATAATTAAAGAAAAACAAAAACAAAGATAGAGCTGAGATCTGTGAGTTTTTGTGTTCTCTCATATTTAATTTCTTGAACTGGTTATGGCCACATGCAAATCTCAAAAAACCTGCATGAACAGAAACTAACAGTAATATAATGCAAGCCATCTGCAATTGCTTCAGAACAAAAAATATATAAATTAAACAATACAAATTGCAGAACAGTGATGAAACAAAATTTGGAATGAATATAAAATAAAACAAATCGAAAAGCAAAAGCTGCAGCTGTCGTATACGAGTGAAATCCGATCTGAATGTCTGTCTTCGGATCCCGTGAGGAAAGAAAAGAATTAAAGAAACCGTGTGGAGTGAAGCAACAAATAGGAATAGGATACACAGAACTATGGTACCATTTATAGGTTTTGTTCAAATGGCAATAGTTTACCATAAAATCTATACACCGAAATGACGCCTGCTTTGAAGACTGTGATTTCTTCGTGATCTAGAAAAGAAGATCTGGTTTAAATTCAAACAAATGCATTGCTTCTCCGGTGGAAATTGATTGAGGTAGTGTGTGAGCCAGATCTAGGCTTTTCTTGCTCCAATTATACTGAAGTGAACAAGTGCAAGGCATGGTATATATAAGTCGTTACCTTGGGTAGAGATGGGATATCGACGATTAACAAGATCGTTTCATGTTTTCCCACAGCTTTCTTGAGCTTTGTACTGAGATGTGATCGATGTGCTTTGCATCTGTTATTGCTTACAGATAGCGAGATATGAGAGAGAGGGGGAGAGAAATCGACCTGAGTACCAAGTTCAAGAAAGCCGTGGAAAAGCACGCTACAATCTTCTTCATGATTTTTCGTCCTTAATTCTCTCTGCATTCACTCTTCTCTCCTTCACTGAAGAAAAATCTATGGAAGGAACAAATTAGAAGTGGGTCTGAGAGGGAAAAAACAATGCAAAAGCATAATGAAAATAAGAGGGAAGAGTAAAAATTGAACAGCAATTGATAAAACCAAAATTTGCAGAATCATCGATAGACCTTCTACGTTATGGAAAAGAGAATAATTGCATTAGATCAGACCAAGTAAATTTCAAGAAGGAAAAGAAAATAAATAAAGAAAACAGTACGAAGTAAGCCAAAGTTGAGCAGAAAACGTAGTAAATAAAAGTTTCAAATTCAAAGAGAAAACCAAATTAATCGACAAAGAAAATTAGGAGTCAGAACGAGAGAGCAGCAGCAGCAGGAAAAAAATGAATTGGAACAAGCATGGCGAGAGAAATCCAAAATAAATTATATTGGAACAAAAGAGAACGTAAACACAGCAACAAAAGGAGAGAGAGAGAGAGAGAGAGAGAGAAGCACGAACTGAGCGGCTAGCTGCTTGACTGGTTGCTCCACCTTTGGCTTTGGCTTTGGCTTCTTAATAAATATATAAGGTGCCGTTTGGTAAGAAGAGATCTTCCCCATTAGCCCAGATGGTTAAAAGACATTCAAATTTTGGGGTCTAAGACAAAAATGCGTTTGATAAGGGTTATTGGGCTTTTAAAAATGTATTTAGAGGATATTTATCACATGAAAAGACCATCCAGAAAGTTTCATTTGTATCTTCACAAAACTGAAATTAGACATTTTTATCATTTTGATCTTTTCAGCTTTTTGGTTATCAATCAGAAAAATATAAATAAATGATTCAAGTATACGGATGAATCACACATGTGAATTCTAACACTGGGGGCTATCAGGTCAGGTATCAGCTATTGAGGAGAATTGGGTCAGTGGCTGGTGGAACTTGGAAGAACTGGGCCACGTAGACCATGTTATCTCAGTGAAGTTTATAATTCTTACCACGTGGATGTGGGGTGACGTTGGCTTTGTCATCCACCATTGACAAAAATTCTCTATTATGTTTGGTTTGAAGGAAAAGATATGAAAAGGAAGGAAAAGACAGGAAAATCAATACAAAATTTATAAAAGTTTCTCTACCTTTCCCTACATTTTCCTTCAAACCAAACATAACATAATGATTGAAGACAAAACAAGCCTGGATTGATTGGAGACAAAATCATGCATACCGAATTGGGCTACTTATCACCATTGAACACACCAGTGTTCACTGTGTGCTCTATTGAGGCCTCTTCTATACTGCACCTGTGTTTCAGTCATGATAGGTAACCCAACCCAGTGTGAATGATTTTGTTTTCGATTCATCCGGATTGCACCGAAACAGCCGGATCCCCACGAATAAAATAACAACGCATTACGAGTTTGTTTGTTGGGTGTCTCCCCACTATAGGAGTGCATTGTACTAAGCACCCTAACTTTCATAATTAGATAGTGTTTGGATCTCTGCACCCATGAATTTTAAAGTAATTTGGATAATAAATGTGTTAAGAGTTCCAAAGTCGGTACCTGTTTCTGTAAGAGTTTTGGGAACCAGTTTCACAAAGAAACATAAGCTGTTGTGATCCAGGATTTAAATTCTCTTATAACCGAGTTCCTTCTACCAGAATTTCGAGCTGGGATCCTCCACCAATAAAACACGTTCCAACCCTCTACCAATTTCACCATGAATCATGTATGAAATGTGTGGTATGAGATCAGGTTAGTAGAAGATTGGAACATATTTTATTGGCAGGTGATCGGACTCCAGAATTTCATACTTCAAAGGGCAAACCCTTTTGTTGAGACAGTCTCAAGTCTTTAAAATATATTTTATATAGAGGGTTTTGCACAAAGGGCAAACCCTCACGGAGTTGTTGAAATTTTGTTTGAGCACTTCAACAAAGTGAATCGTGTTTAACAGGAATATGCGAAGCTCTTTTTGGGCCCAAAACCAACTTAAAACAGAATTAACTTTAATGGTTATGAAGATTGGTGTGTTAAAAGGGCCAAAATTGTGGATCTTGTGCACCCAAGTTCAATTAAAATTGATGAGATTAAGGCCCAGTTTGCTACCCAAAATAACTCTAGGGCCAGCTTCATCCTCTAACAAGACCGGTAGACCAGTGACCACTTTGTTAATTGTTACCACTTCAACACAAGACATATGGCAGAAGTAACTCACACCTGGTGCGACATTCTGGCAATGACAAGAATGGGGGAGGTTGAACCGGAAGGTACACTTAGTGTGACATGGGTTTAGGTTAGGTTGACCGGGTCAACAGTCTTTTATAAGTCCACCCACTTACACCAAATAACGTCCATAGCAGTTCAATATTGAAAATCCTCATACCTTTTTTTTCTTTATTTAATCCTTTGATAGCTCGTACGTGATATGAGCCAGGCTTCAGATGTCATGTAACAATATTGGTTTCCATAATAGCCAATGGCCTAGTAGTTGAGATGGGTAGTTGGCATCCTTCCAAAATACAAGGCATGGGATCAAACCCATGCAACCATAGGCTCTCAGTGAGTCTCACCTGTAGGAATGGCAACGGGGGTGAATTCAGGGTGGGGATCATATTCCTCATCCCCAACAATGACTTCGAAACAAATCCACAGTTTCGACCCCATCCCCAATCCCCAATGAAGACAGATTCCTCCATTAAGACCCAAATCTCCAAAATTTTTTAATTAAAAAATATTTTTAAGAATATATTTACCTAAAATAAAAGCAATTTTTAAAATATAGATAATATATTGGGGTCAGGTGGGTGGGAACTTCATTCCCCATCCCCAATTCCTATTATTCCACATCCCTGTCCCCACCCCCCACCAAGGCAATTTCCATTGGGGTTGGGGAGGCCAGGTACCCAACGGGGATGGGGAAAATTGCCATTAAACCCTATTCAACCCTCACACTTGATTCCCTTATAATGTAAATTATGTAATACCAAAAAGAGGTTTCAATATGAGATGTATATATATATATATCTCCACCACAGTTCCGAGTTATAATTCTCCATTGCGAGACCGAGAATCACACGATAACCCGCATCACCTTCATATGCGTAGAAGGTGGAAACCAAGCATGAGGAAGAAGAGGTGGTATATTAATATTTGGCTCATTATCGTCATGTTTTCCATAGAGGATTCAGATTCAGTCCTCTATGAAACCACGGCTTAGCGCTCGTACCCAAATAGCTCACTGACCCGTCCATGTATGTAACACTACACTAGTGCTTGTTCATTTTTTGAGTTGTCTACAAGTCACTCCATAAGGAATGAATAAAAAGTCAGCACAGAAGAATATAAGATAGAGAAACTTAACATAAATAAGGGTTAACTCGAACAAGGTCCTGGAAATTTAATAAAAAAAAAAGGAAAAAGGCAACAAAAGCTCTAGCCTCCAGGCAATCTGACTGACTTCCACTTTTGAAGTCCAGAATAGCAATACTCCTATTACCAGTTCCGGCAACATAATAGAGGTTGAATTTAAGACACTTCTGAAGCACGCGAGATGATGTTGCACAGCACAAATATTTATGACTGGGCAACGGGGGTTTACACGCAGTTGCAGATGAACGGACTGACATGAAAATTCTGGGACTCGTGAGAATTCCCTATAAAATTTTTCAAAACGGAGTAACTTTTCCCTTTTTCACTTTTCGTTTTGGCCTTCATCTAGTAGCAGGTAACGATCCGGCATCATCCAGACCCAGTTGACAACTTACCCACCAAAGAAATGCCCGTGTCATTACAGCTGTGATGAAATGCATTTCATGCTAAGGAAAGTAATAGACAATGCAATACAATGTGGTCAGTCAGTTGATGTCCCTGCAAAGTGAAAGCCAGGGCAAAGGCTGCCATAACACTTGAAAGACTACACTAGCTTTGTCATACAGTTCAATTATGGAACAGTAAAACAAAATTGAAATCTTGACCTGCATTATTGTCTATTGAGAACTAAATTCTTGCTCAGAACTTGAACAAAAATCCTGGATCCAAAATGCCCAGATCATCTATAACCAAGGCTCTCGGAGCTGCCGTATTTGTGATGAAATTCAGATGATTCAGTACAAAATACAAAAACTGAAATTTCTTTAGTTCTATGTTGAATAGAAGGCAGAAACAATGCCCCTTCCAGAAACTAGTAAAGCTACTAGAAACAATGAGGCTAGAATAAAACTGATGAACAAGGCCATGCAGGTTAAAGAGCAGCAGGCTGACAAACAATAAACCCCATAAAAATGGATGACCATGGCTTCTAACTTATTCTCCTACCGTCAAGCCAAACCCGAATTTGTAGTCTTTCTTCCAATGATCAATCTGCAAGAAGAATGGTAATTAACAGTTACATAGAAGCTACATAAACAAAGAGCCAGAACTATGACACAATGGGGAAACAAAAAACAGGAAAGCTTTTGCATCTTAATAGCTATTTCTCTTCTTTTTTCTTTGGAGAAAAAATAGTACCACAAAACACGTGAACCACTGAATAAATAGAGTTGTCAATGGATCAAATCAGGATCCTGATCCAATCCAAACCTGGCCAGATCAAGCATGCTACAGCTCTCTATATGTAGATTGATTTATAATCAGTTTTCAGACCCACCTGCCCAATTGTGTTAAGATTCAAATCTAATAATTTACTGTGTTATACTTTCCATACATCTATCAATAACATAACTTCTTAACTATAAGGTTGTAATGCCAGTCTTTTTAGATAATTGTACTAATGAGTATATGAACAAAGTCCAGAGAACTAGTCATATTTGAATTTGATCAGATTAATAATTATAGATTGAATTCGGATTTAGTTCTATCAAATTTGAAAACAACAAATTGTCAAATGACCGACATTTTTCTGACAGTTCCGCCATCCAATTATCCAACCCTCTAATATAGTGAAATAGATGCATGGTTATGTTCATCTAATTAAGTGGATTTTTTTTGAGAAGGATAGTTCCTACAATTTCTGACAGGCACCACTACATATGTTCCACATCTACAGTAAAAGGTAGAAAAGACATCTTCCTCTCTCTTTTTTCTTTCCTTTTTTTGGCTTTATTCAAAGAGACTTTAACCGGTTACTCAAATCCATTGTGCAGGACCACAGGAAGAATTTATTAAAAAAGGCCTAAAATAATTCTCACCTCAGCAGAAAGAATAAAATTCAGACCCATATTTAATCGCTCTTCAAGAAAAGCAGCTGTGCAACCATTAGAATCTATCTTCCCCCTCAGACGACACTGCAACAACCGCAAGCTTTAGTTAGAGAGAAACAAAAACCATCATTATTTTCTTTTCCAATAGAGTTGCACTGAATAACCATTGATTAAATGCAAAGGCGATATGATTTACAAGGCTGTAATTGGATAAGATTCTGATCAAAACCAAATCTGAATTTGATCCAATTAGTAAAAAAATAAATCCATATTCAGTCAGATATAGGGGCCTTGGATCAGATCAGATTCTAATTTAACCCAAGTGGCTGCTTCATTATTTCTAAAATAAAGAAAAACAAAAAAATAAATAAATGGTTAATTATTTTTAACTTTCACATATAGAATAAAATTAAATAAAAATCAAATACTGAGTTTACTAATTACAACTTTTATATAATTATATAATTATCCATGTTTATATGTGTGTATATAGTATACTATACATATTATATGAAATTTAATTGAATTCAAATCTTAAATGAATCTGAAGTCGGATCAGGCATGGAACTTTCAGACTCTGTTGACATCCCTAATTATTTAAATATCATCCAGAATGGATGTAGCAAAATACATGGCTTTCGTGGGTTTAATAAGAATTTAAGATTAAAATCATGTTAGTAAAAGGTTTTAGTATTTATTAGTGATTACTAGATCTGGGAGCAACCACTTTGTGCAAAAATGCCGATGGTTAGGTCTCTATCCAGCCCACCATCCCAAGAACCTCAGATAGCTGGAACCAACAGTAGGTAAAGGTCTTTTATTAGAGATTATTAGTTACAAATAGTGGCTACAAAAGAAATGTCTCATAACCTTTTGTATAGATCTGGCAGCAACCACCTTGTGCAAAAATGCCAATGGTTAGGTCTCTATCCAGCCCACCATCCCAAGGCTTCAGAGAGCTGGGACCAACAGTAGGTAATGGCCTTTTATTAGAGGTTATTAGTTACAAATAGTGGCTACAAAAGAAATGTCTCATAACCTTTTGTATGGATTTACTTCCCCCAATTGACCATCCATTAACCATTAAAAGAAATGTAGCCTCTTTTAGCTCTCCGAAACAAGTCTTAAAAACTTGGGCTTTTACTTGAATAGGGACAAGGAAAAACTCAGTAAAGCCCACATTGATGGCAGCTCAAATCAACTCGAGTGGAGAGTGAACCTTCAGCAATTTTTTGCACAAAGCCACTCTCAAACTTAAAACTGCATCCTCAGACTTGTCAGCTCTAGAATTTACCATCCCATCAAGGAATGGCCCCTAGAAATAAGTATAATTAAATGTTGATACATAAAGGATAAATACAATTAAGGGGATAAAATATAGGAGTGCTTTCAATTTGCAGGAATAGAAACTTTGGTCCTAATAAAAATAGAATGGCAAAACAGGATTCATGTAGCAAAACCCATATAGTTGGGACAAGGCATAGAAGATGATGTGAACCTTGGTTCGACATCATAAGAACAAAACTTCGAAACTACAAACTTACCAAGATAAATAAAGATAAGAGAAATAAAAATCCTAGAGATGTATAACTTATAGAATACAACAGAATAGGTCATCATTTTTATTCTGAAATATTAATGTATTAAGGGAAAAAGTCCACCAAAAACAATAAATATACACCCCTTCAAGGCAAAGGAGACATTTTCACCCACCTTTTCTTCCATTGTGCATTTACTAATTGTTTCCCATAGGTTTCAGAGGAGTATGACACCCTAAAGAAGATTTGAGGAAAAAGCATGTGATGCTTTAAAATATAATGATGGAGGTGAGGCTCTAGGTACTGCATACTACTTCACACATAATTGATGGTATTTTGTGCATAAGCATGTATACAAAGCCCACTAATTTGAAATATATCCACAAATGTTATCATGAATAAAAAACAAACCACCATCATCTTTTGTGGAGCATGTACTTCTTAATTCCTATGACAGAAAGATCAGAACATAATTCATAAAAGAAATAATTAGAACTCCTCTTTTATGGTATTGGTGTCACAGAACAAATAAGTTACCTGCCGGAGGATGTAATCATAACCAAAACTTGCTGTAACATCCCGTGACATGTAGTTGTACATGAAATCCGATGCTAGAGAAACCTATATAATACATAGCAATATGAGAAATAATACAAATAGATAGAACAGAGGCCACAAAAGCTTCTATCGAAAAGTAGCATCCTTACCTTCTCGGATACTTTCTGAACATAGCTAAGAGCAACCATACCAGTACTGGCAACTTGGCCAGTTGCAACCTGGAGCGGACAAATCAAAGCCCTTCAGTTGGTAATTATAAAAGATGTTGCAACTAAAGAAAAAAAAAAAAAAAAATGTAACTATCATCTGCTATTGTTTGTCATGTCCCAACCCACAGTCCAGTAGAAACCAAAGTACCAGTAGGAGGATTAGAATTATAAAAAAACGCAATAACAGAAAATATGAACTGCACAATATACTTCCCCTCATCTAATCCAGATTAAATGTCAAGAATAGATGTATCATTTAGTTGAATAATCTTAGTCTTAGATGTGCACATCAATTAATGTAGAGATGGGTCGAATGGCCCATAGCCCAGAGTTGTTATTTCTTCTTTTTTCTTCTGTTCTGTTTTGTTAATGGGCCTTCTCTTATAGGCCTGTTAACATCAATTTTATTTTGTTTAATGAGCTGGCTGCCCAATTAAGAGCTTACTTGTAATTTCTGAAAAATAGTGATTAATTTTTTAATGAAAGGATTAGGGGAAGGAGGGATAGTACGAACAACTCTTCTCCGCACCCTTCTCACAACTGAACTCTTCTTCTTCTTCTTGCTGCTGCTATCTCCTTTGTTTTTCCCCTTCTTTTAATTAGTTTTCTTTCTTTTGGGACTGTTTTTCTTCTATTAATCAAAGAGAATTGGTCTTCGTCCACTAAAATCAACAAATAAAGGGAAGGGGTTAAATCCCTTAAACCTCCCCTGGGTTTTTTTGAAAAAGCCTTACACCTCCCCTGAACTTTGACATGGCTTTTCCCGACTTTTGGATATAAAGGGACTTATAGATCCCTTCTGTTGGTGTGATGTTAGGAAGCAAACAGAAATTTCTGCGTCTTCTTTTCTTTTTGATAGGACACGGTAATTTCCATTGATGACTTGAAATAAAATTACACATTTACCACCCACAGGATGGATGGAACATCAGAACAAAACCTTACAAACAAGCCCAAAACAAAGCCTCCCTGTATCTCCTCGCTTAGCTAAAGTGTCAGGCATTCCATTTGTTGACCTTCTTACCCATTTAAATTGCACCCCAATCTCCCTTGCTAAGCTAATAATCTCTCTTAGAGGCCGTCTAAGTGACCAAACAACCAAGCTTCCAGATTGCATCCAACCCTATTACCAGCTCCGAGTCTCCTTCCACTTCTAATTGTTGCATTCTCCATTGTTTCGCCAATTTCAGGCCTTGGAGTAAGGCCATCACTTCTTCCCTTAAGGAATCTCCCATCCCAATCAGGCCCCAAGTAAAGGGCCAAGACATTTCCTTCCTCATTTCTGAACCCCCAACTCCTAACTGACCTGGATTACCCAAGGAGCTTCCATCAAAGTTTAACTTCACCCTGAACTGAGGCGGTGGTAACCAACTTTCTTGAACCACAGGAGGGAAAAAATACAGCTATAGCACTTCAATTTCTAAACAAGTCAGCTGATGAGAAGTCCTTGAAGAGATGCTGCACTTTCGACCAATACATAACCATGATGGTGAAAACCTAAACAAGTGCTTCCTTGGATTTTTCTTGCCCTTGGAAGATCCTATTGTGTCTTGGCATTTAATGATAGCATCAGCAATACCCCTAACAGGAACTATGGTGAGGACAAAGGCAAGCTCTGTTTTCGCTGTGGAAGACCCCCCAAACACCCCCGGTAGTTTCTAAGGAACTCTTTCTGATCCTTCTAGTCTTGGCTACAGCCAATGTTAAAAATCAAGCTCAACTCATTCACAATGTGAAATTATTCATCACATACACATCTCAATTGCCCATTTACCCTATTTGCTCTAAGAAATATATTGTATTCCATATTAAAATCTTAGATTACAAGTAGTGAAATGAATGCATTAAAATCTTAGAAACAAGTAATGAAATGCAGCAGAGGAACCCATCTGACCCTCCATTGCCTATTACTAATGATGAGAAATCCTTGAGGAAATTGAATTCCTGTACTTTCCACTTCCTTCCAAGGGAGCAGAGCATTATGGCTCATTCTCTGGCAACTGCTATGAGAGGCTGAAAGCCTGAAAGGCTGAAACATAGTTTAATTGAGTTGGTTATTCATAAATTGTAATGAGAATACCATACTAGATTATTTTTTTGGAATTTTTATTGATTTATTTCCTCTTTTTTTCCCAAGTGGGGAATTGGGTGGTCTGGATGGGTTTGGTATTCTATTGTTCGTTCAACTAGGCTCATGAAATTGCAAGGAAATACTAAGGTTTCCAGATGGGGCCCACTGGGAAAAATGATTAGGCAATCGAGCACAACTGAAGCAAACTTCAGCTGTAACTGCTCACATGAGAAAAGCATTTTTGTGCATTCATCTTTTTCCCCAGCAAAGCTGTTGTGTGGTCTTACTAAGACCGGTTTTGAAAAGCATAAAAACTACCAGAGAACCAACTTCGAAAAAAGAAAACTAGAAAAGTGGAGGGGAGAGAGAGAAAGAGTATCAGAGCTCAGTGCTCTGTGATTCTGCGGTCTGTGTTCGAACCAGGAAAACAATCAACAGTGTCTTCCTAGCCTCCAAGGTAAAAACGTAAGGTAAAGTTGGGATAAGAAAATTTGTAATTTTTTGTCTGAAAAAATTCATAGGACATAGTGGTCATTTACACTCTTTGTCCACCTAAAAGTAACAGAAGGGGTCAGGGGAGGTTTAAGGGCAGTTCAAATTTCAAGGGAGGTTTAAGGCCTTTTCAAAATTTTCGGGGGAGGTTTAAGGGATTTATCCAAAGGGATCTTTGTGCAAACATTATGTCGATATGGTGAAGAGAATTACAAGCTATAAAAGAGGATGTTTGCTGGCAAGGATGGCATAATAAATCAGATTGAGAAGATGAGCTCAATTTCAGTGACATTGCCCTGCTGTTCAGCTCCTAAAAAAAGAGCAAATTGAGGAGACGTGCTGACTTTTAACTGCATTTTCCATTGGTTCAATAGAACATGGAATGACTACAAAGGGGCTAGTAATTCCCCTTTCCACCAAATTGCAGAATCTGCACCAACTCTACACTTCCACCCTACAATCCATAGACAGCCTTATGATTTGAGCTTGGACATAATGAAATGGCCAACTAGTTTCTAAGTTTCATACCATATAAACATGGAAACGGTAATTGGATCAATATTTGTTGCAGTGAATGAAATGGAGGTCCAATGTTTGCTGAATTCCCTATTTTTACCAGCTTGCAACAATTACGCTGTGTGTGGTTTGGTTGAAAACAAGAGAGAAATAGAAAGTTGAGAAACTTATTAAGATTCCAACAGGGGTGGCTAAAAAGTTGGAAAAGCAAACAAGAGACTTTCATTGGGGACCAGGGGAGGAGGAAAAGGATCATAGTGTTGGTGGGAGGTAGTGAGCAGAAGTAAGAAATTTGGAGGTCTTGGCATTGGGAATATTAAGAAGAGAAAATTGGCTCTATTATGAAAGTGGTTGTGGAGGTTCCCTCTAGAAAAAGAAAAGTTGTGGGCTAAGGTAGTTGCTAGTATTCATGGGTTTGCAGATAATGGATGTGATTCTGGGATTCTAACTAGGACTGGAAGAGCTTCACCTTGGAAAGCATTCCAAGCTATCCTACCTTTGTTTTCACCCTGGATCAGGTATGACTTACACTCAGGTAATCTCATCCAATTTTTTGAACAGGTTTGGGTTGGAGATTCCCCTTTGAAAGACTAATTTCCAGCGCTATTTGCTATCTCTAACTTTACAAATGAACCTATTTCCACTTTCCTTGAACCCTCGAACTCTACTTCTGGGTTTAGATGGAACTTGGGTCTGCGAAGAGCTATTAGGGACACAAAATTGGACACTACTTTGGCTCTTTTAGGCATCCTTGATGGTGTTTTCTTGGACCCCACAAAGATAGATAGCAGAATTTGGACCCCTTTTCCTTCGAGTTCCTTCACTTGTGCCTCCTTATTTAAAGCCCTAACTCAACCATTTGACCCTTTTGGTTTGTCATTCACCATTAAAGAAGTCTAGTGTCAATCTATCCCTCCAAAGGTTGGGAGTTTTTGTTGGGAAGTTTTTCTAGAGAGATTCAACACAGGTGATTTGCTTCAAAGAAAGAGACCCAGAAAGATGGTTATCTTTTTTTTATCAATCCCAATAGATGTTTCTCCTCATTGGTGTGTTCTATGTAAGGCAGATGGTGCAGTGATTTAAAAGGCGTGCCTAAGCGTACAGACAAGGCACATTTCAGAGGATGTGCTGCACCTACGTCCTAGGTGCAACCCTTTCAAAAGGTGCACACCTGGTGCACCTGTGTGCGCTTGGTGCACCTTGCACCTCAGCCCAGGCGTGTGCCTATTGAAAATTTGATGCTTTTTTGCTTTTTTTTGAACTTAGTGGATGGGCCAGGGCTCCGCCCCCGTGCCACGCCCCTCGAGGCAAGTCCAAACAAGTCCATGTTATGGTCTTAAATTCTTAATTCCCATTCCATGGTTTGTCATTCCATGGACTTGTTTGGGCTTGTCTCGAGGGGCATGGCATAAAGGCAACTCGTAGAATCAGGAATGTAATATGTTTTACATCACATTAGCTACTTGAAGTAATGCAATTGAGGAAAAAAAGATATGTAGGTTTTACATGCTTGAAAATGTTTTATATGTTTGATTTTATTTTAAAATTCTCATTTAAATATGCTTTACATGTTATATTTATGTATTTTAATTTTAGATAATAGGTTTTTTAAAATTTTTATTTTAAAACTTAAGTTTATATTTTTTATTAATATTTTTTTATTTTTTGGCTTTTTTGAATTTTCTTCTTTATCTTTTTTTTTGTATTTTTGCACCTTGCTTCAAAAAGGCACATGCCTCGCCTTGCGCCTTACACTTTTAAAATATTGTGATGGTGAGTCTGGCTACCACCTATTAATTTCCAATCAATTTGCAAAAAGCATTTGGGAATGGTTTACTTCTTTGTTTGGGTGCAGATGGATTCTCTCACTGAATGTGCAAAGCGTGTTTGCTACTTCTTTGAATTGGCCACTGAAAAGAGGAAAGATTAT